AGCTGATTCTTCCAGAGGCTCTGGCCAAAGATCTGAGTCAACTAAACACCTGCTCTCCTCTCATCCCATCAGCTTCAGCAGTGCGCCTTGTGAACCTGACCTTCAGAGTTCAACCCTGTCTCAAGAGTGATCATCCAGGTCCTGGTAGCACCAGCAACAATCTGGGTTGTTGCAGTAGCCTCCTACCAGCCTCACCTTGTGCTCAGGTTTCAACTCAGCAGGTAGAAAAAAAATCTGAGCATGTTGCTCCTCTGCCCATCACTCTTCACAAAAGCCAGTGTCATCACAGTGTCCTGTAGCACACATTGTCCTCTGAACCCCTCTCCAGCTCCTCCCCTTGCTCCCTATGGGTTCCTGAACTTGCCAGGCTGTTCCTCCTCAGAGTTTGGTCCTGGTTGATCCCTGAGCTGGTTGATCCCAGATGCCCATGTTACTCATCACCTCACTTACTTTAGCTCTTAACTCAAGTTTCACTTCTCCAAGGACCTTATGGCCCCTGCTGAAAGTCGTGCAGCCCAGCCCCTCCTACCACTCCCCATCTCCTTGTCCTTCATGGCACTCCCACCACCTGGCACATCTCTGGCAGAGATTTGTGTCTGGTTCACTGCCATATCCTACCCCTACCATCTACAATGCTTAGCACTTAGTAGTTGGTTAGTGCATATTCAGTTAAGCAGATTGAGAACAACTCTTACAGACAACCAAAAGAGCAAATCCTCCACTTCCACAGAGACTGGATGACACCTAAGAAGATCCATCCATTCCAGGTGCCAACTATGTATCAGGCTTAGTCTTGGCACTAGGGATACACTGGGAACAGATAACACTAAAGAAAACAAAACAAAAACCCTGACTGGGAGCTCCTACCATAGGATACTCTCTTAATTGAGAGTAACTCAACAAATTTGTTAGAGAATGGTAAGAGCTAAGTAGACGAATAAAACAGGAAAGAGATACAAAATGTGGGGAGTGTGCTATTCTGCTCAGACAGCCATAACAAGGAACTTCTTCACAGTTCTGGAAGCTGCAAGTCCAGATCAAAGCATTGGCACCTTGGCTTCTCCTGAGGCCACTCCTTGGCTTTTAGATGGCCACCCTCTCCCTGTGTCTTCACATGGCCTTCCCTCTGTATGCACAAGGCTGTGACCTAACCTCTTCTTGTTATAAGGCCACCAGTCATGTTGCATTACAGACTGCCCTAATGATTTTGTTTTGATGTAGTCAGCTCTTTAGAGACCCCCATTTCTATATACCATCACATTTGGAGGAACTGGGGCTTAAGACTTCAATGTTTTGGGGAGAAAATGAAGGCAAGTGCAAGGCCCCTGAGCAGGGAGCACCTGGTGCATTGGAAGAAAGACAAGAAGAGCAGTGAGGTCAAAGCTGTGACAGGTCAAGCCACGGACAGCACAGCTGAGGAAGCTGAGCAGGTGTATGCCAACAGGACCACTCCAGCTGCTCCCAGAGCCAGGGGAGTAGGAGGGTGACTCCTTCCTGACTTCAGATGACAGACCAGGTGGTAACAGTGGAGGTGGGGTGCCCCACCCAGACCCCACCTCCAGAGGCTGGCAAAGCTCCCTTGCCTGCTTCTGAAACAGGCTGTCTGAGAGCAGCCCCAGCAGGGGCTCTAGCCATTTGACCTGAGAAGCAGCGGGCTACTGTGATGTATTTTTAAGGTAGAGACAAAAGGATAGAGAACGTTGCAGAGAGACCAGAGAGATGATCAGCCCGAGGCTGCCTCCAGCTCTGCCTATTTGTCTCTGCTCAGACCCAAGGATCTTCAGAGTGTGCCTTGGATTCTGCAGGCCACAAAGACATGAAGATGCTCTGGACTTTTCCATTCTGCTCAATCCCATGCCCACTTTTTTTTTTTAGCATTTTGGGAGCTCTCTCCAGAGAGAGAAAATAGTGCTCCTCCCTCCACCTTCATTACAGGCCCTGTGACCGCCTCTTTTCTGTCTCCACATGGCATTGTCCTCTCAACCCCCTTCCCCCCCAACTCCCCCAATGAGAGGTGGGTACTTCCCTTCCATGCAGGCATCTTTACCTTTCCTTTGCTCCTCCCCTGCCTTCCAACATGCACAGGTCTGGCCTGCCGGTCCCTGGTTTTCCCTCTGCCTGCCTCTGTATTTATTTTCTTAGCCTCCATTCTTTGCAAGCAGCTTAATGAAACTCTAGATGAGTCAAAGGTCACCATTACCTCTCACCAAACCAAGGTTCCTCCTTGCTACTGCCTGGGACTTTTAACTACTGACCGACTGCTCAGGGCTCCAAGGGATGCCCTAAGCGCCTTCTTGCTAGTCTTTCCCTCCCCACCCTTCCCTGGGTTGCAGACACCTGACTTCTCCTGCCTGTTCCACTCCCCTGCAGAGAGCTGCTGCCTTTGGGTGTGGCTTTTCCTTGCCTGCAGTGGGGGTGGTAAACTCTCCAGTTTCTTTCTTTTTTTGGCGGTACTGGGGTTTGAACTTAAGGCCTCAATGCTTGTTAGGCAGGTGCTCTACCACTTGAGCCACTCCTCCAGCCCTTTGTTGATTGGGTATTTTTCGAGATAAGTGAGATAAGGTCTTGTGAACTATTTGCTGTAGCTGGCTTTGAACCAAAATCCTCCTCTGATCTCTGCCTCCTGAGCAGCTAGGATTATAGACGTGAGCCTCACTACAGTCTCTTGTTATAAGGACACTGAGCCTATCATTCCCATTGTGTAGAGTTCACTCTCAAGACCTCATCTAACCCAATTGCCTCCCAGAGGTCCCACCTCCAAATAGCATCCCTTTCTGGGTTAGGGCTTAACACATGTCTGCTAACTACCCCCTCTTTCTTTGCTTTGTTAACTTGCTGTGGCTTTGTTTGCTGTGGCTACAGGGTGTGGGAGGCTGGGTGGCTTCTAACCCAACTCCTCTCCCTCCCCAACTCTGTGCCCTCCAGACTGTACACCTCAGGAGTGAGATGTTCCCTACCCTCCTGACACAGAAGGGCCCCTTGTTCCCCAGGCCGTGTGGCCTTTCTCCTGAGTGCCTCCAGGCGGTTACCCTCCACTGCTAAAGTGCCAATGTCCAGCTGCTGTGTGGTGGACAAGACAGTGGGCATGGAAGGATGGCGCTGCTTAACTGTGCTGCCTGAAACCAGAGGGCAGAGACTTGAAACCCAGTAGGCTCTACGTTGTCAGAGACAGGGGATAGCCTCCCCGTACATTTCTGAGCCTCAGGTGTGTATTTTAACATTGCCCAAAGTGGAGTTGAGTTTCCCATCTGTGGCATGTTACAGTTGAACTGGAAGTTTGTTGTTGCAGGCCATCGTGCAGAATTTAAAATTATGTCACGTTGGGCAGAAAAGAGGAGAGAGAAAATAAAATAGAAACGTGGTCCCCTCCCTGCTGCCCTTAGTGCCTATTTTGTGGAACAGTGCTTAAAAAAATAATAATTAATATAAAAACACTTCTCAAGCAACCTTTGAGCAAGTGAGAACTGATGAGTCCCTCTCAGCATCCGAGTGAATATAAACCGTGTTGCCTGGGACCCAGCATTCCAGGAAGGCTTCCTGAAGAACTGAGTTTGAATTAAAAGGGAAGAAAGAATGGACCACAGGCTAATCTGCTTAATTTAATGGCCACACTGTTTTCATGAGGTAGTGATATCTCCACTTACAGAGAAAGGAACAGTTGAAGCAGCTTAGGAGCTCCATGCCTGGGTTTTCCACCAAATTGTGGTTGAATCTGGGCGAGGTGCTGATGGCACAAGAAGATCAGAAGCTCGGCCTGGCTTATTTGTGTTTATCTCCCAAATCACTGCCTGGGGGGTTGTCCCTTGAGGATCAAAAGTCTGCTAATCCCTGGGGAGAATGTTTACAGGACATCACAGTGTCCTGCTTGGAGCCAGGGGCAGCTGTCTGGGACAGGCCCAAGAGACAAACAGCTTGGCCCACGGTGTTCTAGTTCTCAGTGCAGCAGAACTGGGCAGGACAGTGGCATCTGGTTGTCTGGGGGCGCCTGATGGGTGCCATTGCACTAAGTCACTGCAAGAGAAGGCAAGGAAACCTCCAAACCCACCCAAGGGTGAGTCGGAGTAAGCCTGACTGCCTGGACAAGTCTCCTTGCAGGCCAGTCCTGCTAGACCTGGGCTTAAGGACAGAATGCAATGCCTGCCTCAGTTGCCCAGCTGTAGGCTGCACACTATAAATCCCATACAGGGACATGTGCTGCAGTCCGTTGTAGGAAAGGTCTGTCACTGTCAGGTGAAGGTCATAGGAAGTCAAGGTCATACAGTACATGAGGGTCATGGTCTGGGGGTCACGGTTGGTCCCTGTTGTCTCTGGCAACTCCAGTGCCTGGCGTGGACAGTGGATCACAATGCCCTGCGGCACAAAAGACCAGAAACAGGTAGCATTGTCCATGGCGCCAGGCCCTCACTGAGTCTTAGTTAACTCAGTCCTCACTGTCACCCTACAAAGCAGGCCAGCCATACCCGCAGCTTCCCCATCAGGGAGACTGAGGCACAGCGCCCAAGTGACCCGTCCAGGGACAGCCCGGGCGGGGGCGGGGTGGGCGGCCGGTGGTTTCCAGCCGGGCAGGGCTCAGCGGCCCCGGGCTGCCCATATAAGGCTGCGGGCGGGCGTCGGGGAAGGTTCTGGGCTCCCCAGGCCCCCCGCGGCTGGCAGCCTCCTCCGCAGCGAGGAATGTGTGGAATCTCCGTCCCCGGCTGCGACCCGGGCTCGGCCCCAGCCCGCGGCACGGGGAGCGCACGCCGGGTCCGCGCGCCGGCCTCGGCCGCGGCCGTCTCCACGCGGGCGCGCGCGCAGCTGCCTCGCCGCGGAGGGTGCGCGGCGCCGGGGCCGAGCGGGCCGGGTCGGGCCGGGTCGGGCCGGGTCGGGCGGCTGCGCGCCCTCACCTGCCGGGTCGGCGCGGCGCGGCGCGGCGGCGGCGGCGGCGGCGGAGGGGGAGGAGCCCGGGAGGCGGCCCCGAGGCGGCCGGGGAGGAGCCCGGCGGGGCGGGAGCTCGGCGAGTCCAGCGAAAGTCCTGGAAGTTGCGGGAGCGCGAGGAGCCGTCGCGGGCTGCGCGCCCTCGGCCCGGCGCCCATGGCCCTGAGCAAAGGGCTGCGGCTGCTCGCGCGGCTGGAGGCGGCGGGCGACAGCAGCGTCCTGTTGGAGGCGCGCGGTCGCGGCGACTGTCTGCTCTTCGAGGCGGGCACGGTGGCCACCCTGGGTGAGTGCCGCGCCCTCGGCGTCCCGTGCGGTCGGCGACGTGGGGACCTCGGGAGACCGGCGCCGTCCTGCCCCAGGGGACCACCAGGGCGGCGGGGGCGCGGGGCGTCAGAATGCACCCCTGGCTGGCCGGGCACCGCCGCTGTGTGTCCCCAGAGAGAGTTCTGGTCCTGGACAGCCAGGGGCGGCTCTGACTTTGTACGCCTGGCCCTTGGTCAGGGCGCTGACGACATCAGTAGATTGACTTCGGAATCTCCAGGTCATGTGTCCCGTTCGCTCTCTTGTACACCTGTTGGGGAAAGCGGCCATTGCCCTTTGGGTTGTATTGTGGCTCCGCTCCATTAAGGCATGGGACCCAGGTACCGAAACAGACTTGGGGAAGCCGTCCATGGCACTTCTGTCTCATGTAAATTCTTGGTCGGAAGCATCAGTACGGTGATCTATAGACATAACTGGAAAGCAAGTGTATTATCTGGTGACTTGATCTTTCCGTCGGGCGTTAGGCGATAATAAACCGAAGTGTTTCACCTGTAGACTTCAGACACCTTGAGACTGCCGTTGTGTTAAGGACTTTAGAGACAGTCTCACTTAGGCTTCACTATAACCCTGTTACTGTCCCCATATTACAGATGGACAAACGGAGGGTTTCAGAGGCCTCTAAGATACTTGCTTCGCCATCTGACTTTTGTGTGGCTATTTGGTAATTTCATGCCATGACTTCCAAGTGCGGCCAGCTTCCTGATCACTAGTTTTGTGGTTGACTTTCATGAGGATTGCTAGAATTTTAACCTGGAATCCCGGAGAGCAGGCTTCCAACAGTGGGTTCCACCTGGACCATCTTTCTGGTGTACTTTGATAAAGTGCAGAGCAACATCAGTTGTACTTTAGGTGGTGGCAAATGCACCAGACAGCACACTTTTTTTTAAAAAAATGTTTTATTTTATTCATATGTGCATACAATGTTTGGGTCATTTCTTCCCCCTTTCCCCCTTCCCCCTCTTCCCTTTTCCCCTCCCTTACCCCCCCTTACCCCTCGATACCCGGCAGAAACTATTTTGCCCTTATCTCTAATTTTGTTGAAGAGAGAGTATAAGCAATAATAGGAAGGAACAAGGGTTTTTGCTAGTTGAGATAAGGATAGCTATACAGGGAGTTGACTCACATTAATGTCCTGTGCGTGTGTGCTACCTTCTAAGTTATTTCTTCTTGATCTAACCTTTTCTCTAGTTCCTGGTCCCCCTCTCCTATTGGCCTCAGTTGCCCCAAAGTATCTGCTTTAGTTTCTCTGCGTTGAGGGCAACACAGACACCACACTTTTAAGGGTCTTGTTTGAAGATTGGTATGTGTCAACTCTGGTTAGGGTATGTATGTGTGTATACATCTATATGTAAGTTAGAAGGAATCATGTCATTAGATCATGCCATTAACAGTTTATCTAGCCGGGCCTGGTGGTGCACACCTGTCAAAGTCCCAGCTATCAGAGGCTGAAGTGGGAGAACTGCTTTAGCCCAGTTGCTGGAGATCACCTAGGCAACATTGCCAGACCCTGTCTCAAAACAAACAGGAACATAAAAAATAAAAAAAATATGTAGTTTTCTGGCTTCCTTTCAGTCACTTGATTACTGAAACAATGTCTTCAGTATTCTCAGTATCAGAATTGTGCAGGGAATCACGGATTAAATTACCAGATTCTTCCAGATGAGTTCTGTCCTAAAAAGTCCAAGCTTGGTCATTTGTTATATGGCCTTGAAAGAAAATCATAGAAATTTCCACTCCATTTTAGGTGTCTGCTTCATACCACATTTATCGGAACCAGGAGATTAATTTCATGGTACAAGGCTACTGTTTCATCAGCAAGATTAAAATGCCCTTCAGTTGAACTGCAGCAACATTAAGCAAAGTTCCTGGACATGTAAGAGTTCCTTTGAAGCCATTTGGAACAGTGTACTTTGTTTTTTCAAAAGTGCACATTTAAAATGATTAATGAAAGCAATATAATGCATGCCTTCCATTAGGAAATTAAGTTTGGGCTGAGATGCACTTAGAGTGCATCAGTACTCCGATACAGTACTTGATGTTACAACGGGAGAGGTGATGAAAGGAATTGGCCCATTCCCAGCTCATGTGCAGCCCACGTTTGTCCTAGCATGTGTTCTGCAGGAGATCTCAGGCTTGTAAGTTTTTAAAGTTTGTTTTTCTTCATTAAGTGAAATAAAGCTACAGCATTTGAGGATATTGGGATTATAAGAGAGAGACTTCTGTTACTAGGAAGTTACTGATTCAAACTTTTAAAATGTCCTAAACGCATCACTGATGCATAAAGTGGCTTTGAGCTTGAAATTCCTATCTGTGTTCTCCGGTCCAGCTAGCTGTGTTGCTTTCTTTTTCTTGACAAGGATAAGAGTGCTTTCCTTTTCACAAGAAGCTTGCAATCTCTCCTTTTTGGGGGGAGGGAGACAGTACCTTTGTGGCAACCTAATCCTGACCTTTCACTCTTTTCTTAAGGGCACAGGGTGGGGCAGCTTCCTTTTCTCTCCAGCTGTGGTTTTCCTGTGCTGGGTGTCCCCAGTGAGTGACGAGAGACTAGGAGAGGAACAGCATGAGTTATTGTCATGTGGGTTGTGGTAGTTCTAAATTCTGCCCAGCTCTGCTACAGATGTGCGTGGCTGCCTTTACAGGGAACAGCAGTTGAAGGCACATCCTGTCCTGTGCTGGTGGCTAGCAACTTCCTAGCATCACCTGAGGAGCTCAGCTTGTGCCTCTCACTGAAGGGCTCAGCACTTCCTTAGCGTCTTCAGGCAGTGTATGGAGATGGGGTCTTGAACTGGATGGTGCATGGTGCATGGTTGGTCCAGGAGTGGACTCTTCCTGTTCTAACCTGTCCTTACCTGTCCTCCTCTTCTAATGGGAACTTTGCATATGGTCTCCAACAAAGCCATCTAGCCTGCTAGCAGGAGGATTTTTAGAAAGAGTAATTACAAATTTCCTGCTTTTAAAAGAATTAAGTTGAAACTTTTCTATGTGAATCATGGGAGCAGGACTTCCAGAAGCAGAAAAGCCATGAGTATGGCTCCGGTTTAAAAGGTTCTCATAATCTTCGTGGTCTCCCCAGCTGGAGCATGCTTCAGTACAAGGGAAAAGCCAGAGTCCAGCAGCTTGCCCTGTCCACAGTCCAGCATCAGTAGGCAGAGACCACAAGCACTTGCTGGCATTGTCTCTCTATCTCTGTTAGACTTCGGGAGGACCTGATACGCTGATCTGATCATCCATGGATGGCATCCATTTTCAGAGTGAGCGCCAGTGCTCCAAAGGTCAAAGTTCTCCAAACAGCCCCAGGTGGGACAACTGCAGAATGTCCTGGTGTTGACAGGAGATGTGTTTACACATGGGTTTGTGAAACCCTGCTTCTTCCTCCCCAGCCTTGTCACAGCAGGGAAGCAGGGAAGGGACAGAGGCTGGGAGACTTCATTAATTAATAAGTGTCCCTACATTTCTTTGACCTTTTGGGGGGACGGTTGTATGGAAACAGCAGGCTTCCTGGTCATCCCAGTGGCTTTGCTATAGAGGTCACAAGTTTGCTTGGTTTGATTTGGTGACATGCCATAGAGCCTAGAAAGTGTCCATCTGAAGTTTTGTCTTGGTTTCTTTCTCAGGCCTAGATTTATTAGGGTTGCTGGCTTGAATTTTGACTGGCTGAGGAGCATCAGAGAGAACCCAATAGGTGCTGTTCTTTCAGGTCTTCTGAATAGAGGTGGTAGCACAGGTGTGGCCAGGGGAAGGTGTGAGGGTCCTGACTTGGAAAATGGTCCCAAATCTGAGCTTCTTCTTGTTTTGGCTACATGGCTCAAAAACTTTTTTAGCCTTTAATTGTGAAACCGTTCAAACATACCCAGAAGTATGGGAAAAATCAGCCTCTGTGGACACATCTCTAGTGTAAACAGTTACCAGTATTTTTCACTCATCCCTGCATATTTTATGAAAAATAACCTGAATTTCCTAAAATATTCAGATCCAGGAAAGGTTTTGATTTACTTCTTTCCCTGACTTGCATTTATTTATATAAACCTATATATAGGTTCAGTTTTTTAATTTTATTGCAAATTATAAATTATAATTATACAAATTTAGGGGGGAACAAAGTGATGTTGTGATATATATATATCTCCTATGAAATGACTAAGCCAGTTAACACATGTCCTCTCAAATACTTACCTTTTTTTTTTTTTGTGGTATTTGGGGGTTGAACTCGGGGCCTTGCACTTGCTTCGTAAGCACTCTGCCACTTGTGCCACACCTCCAGCCATTTTGCTCTGGGTATTTTTGAGATAGCGTCTTGTATTTTGCCTGGGCCAGCCTAGACCCAGCTTTTGCTGGTTGAGATGGAGTGTTTTGAACTTTTTGCCTGGACTGGCCTGGAACTGAGATCTCCCAGTCCCTCCTTCCAGGGTGGTTTAGGATTGTATGCGCAAGCCACTGAACCTGACCAGATACCATTTTTTTTGTGGTGTAAACATTTAAATTTACAGCCATCTGGAGATAGCCAGTACATTTCTGTGAACAGTAGTCACCTGACTATGTAAGTTCACAATTTACTTGACAGATTTCAGTGGCAGAAATGGTGGTGTAGCAGATTCTGAAATTCTGGCCAAGAGTACGTATTACAGTGACCACTAGGAACAAGCACAGCTGGTCGAGCAGGGCACTCTGCAGGCTCCCTACTGCCTTCCTTTGACCACGTTATGGGCTCAGGAGAAGGTCTGTACCCTTCAGCAGCATCAGCCCTGGCCATATGCATAAGGTCCCTCAGCCTTCTGGAGGACACTCCTGCTACCCAGCACCTGGAACTTGCTATGCAAATGGCCCCCCTGCTTCCTGCTGCTGGAGGAAGGGGCCTCCTCCCAGGGCCCCTGACTGGCTGCGCAGTGGGGTGTCCACCCAGGCCCAAGGGGTTGAACTGGACCCAAGCTGGCTGGCTGTCCTCTGTGCACTGCAAGCCCTGGC